GATATGATAGCATTAGCATAATGAGCATACTAGTATAATATGTATACTCTCTGTTTTGTAATGGGTAAGATTAATCATCTTACATTTATTGTAATTAATTATTGACATATTTAGATTAATCTCTGAATTTTTATTTTGAGATGTCACTAACCATGACTTTTATTTGTGTCTTTCCCCCCACCCCCATATCACATGTTTGGTCGGAATAATATGCTTTGCTTTTTCCTCTGCTGGTTCAGAAGCTCAATATTTTATTTCTCCTCTTAGTTTTAATCTAGCTGAATTTACAGTTTTCCTCTTCCATATTTTTAATCTCCCAATTTCTCAGAACTTTGTTCTGTGTGAATGTAGTACTACTTTTTAATACATGAGTTCCCTCTTGAACTGGGTCCTATAAGAAGTTTATTCCTTAATTACAGGGGATATAATTTTCATTTGCATGATTTCCCATTGGTTCATTAAAAATAATATCTATTTTTTTGTTATTCTTGTTATGGACATTCATTGAAGATCCTAAGATAATCTCCAATATAAGGGGCCCCAAGCCACTTTAATGTGATTATGACTTAATTGGTGACTGAGTCTATCATTGCCTGTTTTCATCTGAAGGCTGAATAAAAGTCTTATCTACTCTTGGGAAGAGGAGGTGGGGCATAGTTCCGAAGTGACCATTTTATGACCATTTAAGATTTCATGAATTTAGTGTACGTTACAAAGTTTGTAATAGTGGTCTGTTTTGTAAAAACACTTACAAATATATCCAATAAATGAAAGCATAAAAAAAAGAATTTCATCAGACACCTGCTTTGGCTCTTGTAGTAGTTGGTAAATATAGATTTTCTGGAAGAGAACTATTATCTTGTGCCCATATAATAATACGGTTTATTAACCACAGATATCAGGACTCTTGTTACCAACAAATAGGGACCATGTATTGCCATCTTCTACTATTTACACAGCCAAATGCATGTGCACATGCCTTTAATCCTCAACAGTTCTTGGAGAAAAGGAATATGAGAGTAATGAAGCTCAGAGTTACTGAGAAATCATTGAAAGTATGCTGAGTCTCATTTCTCCTGTAGATCCTTGTGAGAAGGTATGAACCGCCCCCCCCTCGCCCCACAGAAAGGAACTGGAAATCTTCTCTAGGGGTTATGAGTCCTGGGCAGGAAAACCAAGACTTGAGGCATGGATGAACTGTAATCTAGCCTTCCAACTAAAGGTTGGGATTTTAGCAGAGAAAAATCTATGGGGAAGTTAATGGCTACATACATAAGTGATATCAAAGAATGAGATTTGAAATTTTTGGAATACAGATTAAAGTTCTTTAATGATGGGTTGTTAGGAAGAGATGAGTACTCAAAGAATATGTTTGTCAAATGATTTGTAGATCTGATCATAAAGGTATCAAATTAAAAATTGAAAGAGAGAAAAGCTTCCCATTATGAAACTGGAAACCATACAGATTATCCAATATTGGGATATCTGGCAACTGAGGAAAGTAGCTTCTCTGTACATAAAGTCCTTCCTAGAATTTCTTGAATTTCAAAAACTTAACAGATTGAGCAAATAGAAAAAAGTATTATAGTCTCTTGCAAGAATTAAATCACTGCTGTAAAGTCTAAAGCAAGAGCAGAAAATGCTGACATACAGAGCCCAAAGTTAAGGTCAACGTATGCCAAAAATGAATCAGGAGCACAAAGGAAAAAGCAGTCGCAATCTAATTATTTTGCTTATAACTGTCACAAGTTAGAAGTACATGTTCATCATTCTGTATGCCTTTAATAGTGGGTCATTCTTGCAAATAAAATAAATATTAATAGGTATATAAGTGATATACATTATATAAATCCTATGAGTGGTATTCCCTCAAATAGGTTTTCCGTAATTTTAGCTCTTTCTTCTTCTCCCTCAGGGATACATATAATTCAAATGTTAGTTCTCATCACGCAGTCCCATCTCTCTCTCAGTGATTGCTCAGACTTTTTCATGTTCTTCTCTGCCTCTTTGCATGACTGAGTTAGCTCGAGAGCCTTGTCTTCAAGCTTTGAGATTCTTTCTTCTCCTTAGTTTAGTCTGTTGCTGATGCTTTCCACTGTGTTTTGAAGTTCCCTAAATGACTCTTTCATTTCCTTAAGTTCTATTATATACTTTCTTATGTTGTCTAGCTCTTTAGTGATTTTTTCATTAACTTTCTGAAAAATTTTTTGACTTCTTTTTGTTGGTTTTCAATTTTCTCTTCAATTCCATTCATCTTATTTGCCATCCATGTTCTGAATTCCATTTGTGTTATTTCGGCAATTTCCTTGTGAATGGAGTCCACTATGGTAGCTCTATTGTGGTCCCTTGGGAGTATTGAGCTATTTTGTTTGTTCGTGTTGCCAGGGTTCTTTTGCTGGTTTCTTCTCATCTGGCTCCTCTTCTTTCGGCTCTGGGTTAATAGGACTTCAGGGCACTTGTTCTCCTTTGCTGGAACTCTCCTGTTTAGTTAGGGGAAGGCGAGCACTCTAGATGAAACTTTTGTGACCTACTCTGGAATTTCGATCTGTCAGGGGAGGGGCAGGTGCACTGAGAGCCTGTAGAACAGCTGTTCTGTTTCGACTTGTTTCCCTGTGATTGTCTCAGTTCAAGTCAGTGCTGGATGATCTTCGTGTGGGGTGGAGAGCTGTTCCCCAGCTCATTGTTGGATGTTTCTGTTGGAGGCTGGATGTGACCCTCTCCGCCAGGCTGTTGTTGTGGGGGATTGCTCTGGCCAGGGTCACCCAGTGGAGGTGACAGTGGCAGCTGGGTGAGTCTATTTAGGCAGTGGTCATGAATGACTGGGCTATGGGCTTTTGCATGACTCAGGTCCAGGAATAATGTCTGCTCAGGGCTGGGGGATCCCAGGTGAAGCGTTGAACCTCAGGGAGGTTCTGCCAGTCTAGCAGCAGTGGTAGAGACTAAGGAGTAGTCTTGGGGCCTAGGCTCAACTCTGGAATCTCAGAGGTGGTATCACAGGCCCAGCAGGGGCCCTGGAGCTACAGCAGCAGAGCCTTGGGTGCAGCAAGAGCTTCAAAGCTGGCTTTGGGGATTATGGGGGCCGAACCACAACTATGGAGGGCTGTTTTGCCAATGTGGAGACTACTGATGCCCAGTCATGCAGGCAAGGGTTTGTCTGAGCAGCCTAGGGACCGTATAGGCAGGCTGGAGCTGCTGGTCAGCCACAGTTCTCCCCCTGCACCTAGGACCCACTGAGGCTGTCACCCAAGGCTTCCCAGGTGGTGCCTGTGGCATCTGTGGCTCTTCTTCTGCTCAGGTCCCCTGCAGGGGAGGAGGCATGTTCAGCCCCCAGTCACAGGGCACAACACAGGGGAGTTTCTGTTCTGTCTGCTCCCTCCCCAGCCTGGCAGGGTTGACACAAAGACTACTGCTGGAAGGCTGAGTCCTGAGCAGACCTGGCTCCGTGCACCAGAGCAATCAGGATGGCATCAGTTGTGGAAACCCGGGATTGGCAGCCATCAGATCTCTCCTGCACCTGCTCTCTGGTGCAATGTCTCTGCACAGACTCGGAGGAGCTCCCCAATCAACCCAGAGGTCTGCAGTGGATGGGGGAGACCCCTCGCAGCTCAAACTGCCTGCAACTTTTATCCCTTTCCTAAAAAGCAGTGCTCCCTAGGGTTGCTTCTATCCTGCTGTGTTCTCCTCTTCCCAGCAGTGTGGATTGTATTGGGAGCCCCAGCTTAATATCAGAGTTGGTGGATGATGCTTGTGAGTAAGAAGCGGCCATGCCCTGTTCGATTGAGTCAGCAGATGCTGTAGGGAGCTACACAGTTGTTCACCCTCTCAGTGGTTGATGCTTGCAGGAAAGAGCTAACTGCAGAGATGTTCTTTTGTACTTGTAATAGGTGTTAGCCCCTTAGGAGAAGCACTTGAATGTCCCAGGCAGAGTGGGAGGATCCCTGTGTCTTTCAGGGGATTGCTTTTTCTCCACCACAACAGATGTTGGTAAAGGAGCAAGGCTGGGTGGGGTTAGGCTGGGCAGCCTGGAAGGCTCTACAAAATCTCAGCAGGGCTCAAAGGTCGTATCCCAGGCCCCTGAGAAAAGCCACTGGGAGAGGGCCCAAAGCAGTCTCTCAAAACTGGAAAGACTGCTTGTGGGGAAGGGGCCATCTGTGATTCACCCACTGGCTCTCGGAGTGAGCTCCACCCCTCTCTTGCTACCCCTGTCCTGAGAGGCTCCCTCTAGTGTCTGTTTGCAAATGGGCACTGGAACGTGCCATGCTCAGCCGTGATGGCACTGCAGCCTGGGAACTTCACACTGGGGGACCCACCCTAGTCTGACAGTGCAACTTCCCTGTGGGAGGATGGACGCTCCACCAGATCGCCATGCCTCAGATCCCCACAGTACTCTCCCATCAGTTCTGCCTGCATGGGCTATCTCACCTCCCGAGTCAAGCTCTCAAATCTCTCCCTTGTGCCCTCTAGCAACCCACTCTAGTCCTGGGGGCATAGGATCTGGCCTACATGTCTGGCCCACTGGTGTGCATTTTTGGGGAGTGTTGACAGGCAAGGAACTCCCAGACTGGGCACCCCCTGGTCAACTGCAGATCCCCAAGGAGAAAGGTGTGGGCCCCACTCTCGTGGAGACCCCAGACTGGAAGGCACTGCAGCTGATGAGAGGCAACCACTTCTAAAACTCTCAATCTGCCCTCCTGGCTGCAGTGGGTCAGGAAGGGGCAGGGGAGGAAAAGAATCTGAGTGGAAGAGAAGAGAGCTGGGACCCCAGCTCCTCCAGTCCCCCTCCCTGGAAGGAAACCTGCAGGGAATGTCCAAGTTCTGGGATGCCAGTTCTCTACACAACTCAGTGGTTGCAGCAGCACCTGGGCTCCCAAGGGCAGAAGAGCTTCCAAAAAACTCAGTAGCCTGCTAACTACTGAAGGTATGTGGGAAGGAGACACGGGTTCCCCCTTACCCCTTTACTGGGCTCCAAGCCTCTTTATGTTAGATCCTCGCCATCTCTTCTCTTTTTCTTTCTTCTGTTCTGTTTTGCAATTTCCCTCTGGCACCTCCTCCTCCAAACTATACTCAAGCTTTGCCCATTTCCTGCATCCTTTATCTGAAACTCTTCCTTCCCTCTGGGATGCACTGGCAAAGCGATGTCTCTAGTCAGCCATCTTGCTGTAATTCTCTGGGATTAGTTAGAATTTGGAAGGGATACGAGGCAACTTTCAAGGTTGATGAGAATGTTCTACATTTTTATCTGGATGCTGCTTAACCACGTATGTGTATTTGCCAAATCTCATCAAATAAATACATAAAATCTGTGCTTTTCTTTGTATGTATTTTGCCTCAATTTCAAAGAAGATATAATAAAAGATCATTTCAATATTATTATTACCAAATTTGTCATTCTGGAACTTTTTATTGAGCATTGGGGCTGAGGTCTTCTCACTCAGTACCTCTAAGCATCTCTGTGAGAAGGTTATTGTTATTCCTGCATTAAGATGCAGGAGCTGAGCCTCAGAGAACTTGTTGCCCAAGGCTGTGTAGTTAAAAACTGATGGGAACAAAATATGCTAATTGTACTACAGCAAACAGCATTTATGGCCCTGGCTCTTTTGCTTGCTTGCATGTCAATTTAGATCCCCTTCCCGACCATCACCAATGTATCAGGGGTACTGTAGCATGTCCACACATAGAAATGAGAATCCTGACAGTAGATTCTACTAGGGAATTCAAGCTTCCCTGATGATAGGGCCCCAAAAGCCATCATGGCCTTTCCTCTCTAACTGGGGGCTGAAAAATAGGCAGGTGGCTGAGCACAGGGCCTCCGTATGCAGATGGGGGATTTAAGCTTGGAGAGAAGACAGATTTAATTGAACATATGTAGGTCCTTGTGGTAGAACTGGAACTGGAATCCAGGTCTCTTATCCCCAGGCCAATGGTTTTCTATTCCCCCATGTTGGTTTCTTCTCATGGAGGATTGGCCTTTCCTGAAAGCTTCTTTAGGATAGGGGAAAGAAGGCAGCATAAGCAGCAGGGTTTCCATTTTTAAGACCTGTTATCCCCCCAAAAAACTCTTTTAGCTGGTCCTCTGGCCTGTTTATCCACAGATGACACTGTCTAACCCACTCACTTTTGCTGAATTGGTGGAGACTTGATAAATTACCCTTTGATACAGTTGCAGGCAGTAGGAGGAGCACAGTACTTAAACTGAGTGACGGGATGTGCTGCTGTGGACTTGTGGAATTGATGGCACCAGTAGATCAGGGACTTTTCCAGAGCCTGTTGTAATAATACCAACTTTCTGGGAGGTTTTATTTTTGGAGTCCCATTATTAAAAGGGTCATGAAGGGCTTTAGGGTTGGCTTCAGGTGGTAGATGTGTGACAGGCAGAGTTCCAGCACCTTGTTTTGTTTTTTTTTTTGAGTTGATTTGTGGGGTACATGTGCAGATTTATTATGCGGTTATACTGCACAGTGATGAAGTCTGGGCTTTCTGTGTAATCCTCACCCAGTTAGTGTACATGGTACCCATTAGGCAATTTCTCACCTCATCCCTCTCACCCATTCTCCCACACTCCCACCCTTCTGAGTCTTTGGTGTCTGTTATTATACTCTCTGTGTCAACATGTACTCATTATTTAGCTCCTACTTATAAGTAAGAACATGCAGTGTTTGACTTTCTGTTTCTGAGTTATTTTACTTTATTTAATGGCCTCTAGGTCCATCCATGTTGCTGCAAAGGATATGATTTTATTCTTTTTTTATGGCTGAGTGGTATTCCCTGGTATATATACCACATTTTCTTTATCCAATCATCCATCAATGAACACTTAGATTGGTTTCATATCTTTGCTATTGTGAATAGCACTGTGATAAACATATGAGTGCAGGCATCTTTTTGACAAAGTGATTTCTTTTCCTTAGGCCAGCACTCTATTGTTAATATTGGGTTTCTACTTAGAGATCCAGAAATGTGACTTTCACTACTATTCTCCCTAATGATTCGAGAATATCTCTTTCTTTTTTTTTCTGGAATCATCTAGGGGCATATTTTAGAAATGCCCCCAACCCCTTGACTTCTAAGAATCCAGAGATCACAGGAGCCAAAAGCAAATGAAGCAGAAAGTGATCTCTTTATTGGCAAGCAAGTGTTTAAAGGAGCTCCACGTTTAGAAACCCCAAGAACAAGAAAGCGTGGGCTAGTAGGGTCATCCATGGACCAAGGATCTGGAACCACATAGGCGTCTGCATCTTAGAGACTTTACAGACTTCACCGAGGTCAGATGACACCTAGGGAGAGAGGACAATCAGTGATGTGAGAGTAGTGAAGAGTGAGAGGCGGGCAAGGGAGGTGGGATCCCTGTTCTCTTTAGTTCAAACTGCACCAGCCCCTGCACATTAGGATGCCAGGCCACTAGTTGTCATCTGGAGCCATTATTTCTGCTGCATAGCCTCTCTTCAGGTCCAGTGTTACTTATTGCAAAAGGGACAAAGAAGCATCACTTCCCCTCGGTGGGCTTCAGTTTTCTTCTACTGACATTGCAAATGCCCAGTGGGCACCTGAGATCCCTCACCATCTCTTGTGCCTCCTTTTCCATCTCCTCTCCCACATCATGAACAGGGATTTTTCCTTCTCCTCATCTCTTTCCTGTATTCTGAGAGAAAGGACAGCTAATCCTTGGGCTTGTGGTGTCTGAAGGAGAATAGAAGAACTCTAACAGGGATGCAAGAACATTCATTGGTGCGCAGAAAGAAAATACTAACTACTATAATATTTTATACTAATGTAAGAAATTAATGTTTACCAATCTAAGGTATAAGAATTGACAAGAGTATATCATAAACTTATAAATATGTATATAGATTATAGATTCAGTGCATGTTCAAAAAATTTTTTAACTGGTAGGCATGTGCAAAAAACCACTGAAGAATACTCAATTAAACATAAGAATTCTAGAACCCAGTGATAAATCAGGCATCCATCCCTGCTGCCACCAGGTGCTCTCTTCACCAGGGAATGGTGCTCATTTTCCCACAGCATGTAATACAGAACTTCTATTGGTGTGGGCAAGAGTTATCAATCTCAAAATGGCCTTGAGGAGTCCCCGTGTACCAGTTCTAAACATTTGGGCAGGTATTTCTCCTATTGGATAAGAAACTTACCTTGATATTGGTCCTACTGTTCAAGTGGTTAACAAATGACAGGTCTCTGTAGATATTGGAATATCTTTCTCAGTGGATGTTGGTGATACCCTTGATCTTGATTATGATTTAGCAGATGTTTAGGGTAATTATCAGTATTTTGCCGTTCAATTTGGGGAACATAACTGCCTTGAGATGCACCTTGATGTCTGCCTCGTTGTTCATGATAGACTGGTACTATTACTATGCCTGAATATTGCCATGGAGTTTCATCATGCCTTTGGTCTTGGTTAGGATCTTGGTTATGATCATTGTCATCTGCTTTCTCTATAAGTGCCATTTTATACCTCTCATGGAATTCCTTTTGGTATTTGCCTTTTTTTTCATGGTAAACTAGATATTTTCCTCTTAGATATTGGCCAAACAGTCCATTTGCATTTTGATCATACCATTGATCTGGATTAAGAATTTGTATCTGGTTTTGATAGTTGTCATCTACTGACTGTTCAGTTTGGATAGGAAAATTGTGTTGGTATCCATCTTGCTGTCTGCCTTGTTCTCCATGTTCAAATGGTCTTTGTTCCATAGTTAGATATTGGTCTGGCATTTCATATTCACTTTGACCATGCTCCTGATCTTGATAAGGATCTCGTATCTGCTTTTGACCCTCGTAATCTTCTGGATGTTCTTTTTGTGTAACAAAGCTGTGTTGGTATTCATCTTGCATCCTGTATTGTTCTCCATGATCAAGTGGTCTTAGATGTTGGCCTGGCATTGCATATTCATATTGACCATACCCTTGATCTTGATTAGGATATTCTGACTCATTTTGATCCTCGTCATATACTAAGAGTCCATTTTGGACTGGAATAATGACTTGGAATGCACGTTGGGGTGTGCCTTCATGTACATAATGGAGTGGGGCTTGTCCTGGACTTCTATCATGTTTCTCTGACATTTCATTTGCAGAAATGTCTTCTTGATTAAGATTTCGAATCTCATCTTCTTTTTGGTCATATACTGGCTGTGTGCTTTGGATTGTAAAAAAGCCTTGGTGTTTGTGTCGTGGCCTATATTGATAGAGTGGGGTTTTTCCTTTCCTTGCTATATGACCCCATGACCATTCTATTATATTTGGATGTTGGTCTAGCATTCTCATTATATATAGGTCATTCTCGCGATTTTCATCAGGATTTTGTAACTCATTATCATTCTTGTAATCTGTATGGTGTACCATTAGCCTGAGAAGATGGTCTTCTGATTCATCCTGATGTTTGTCTTCTTTTTCAGAATTGAGTGGTCCTTGTATTCTATCTAGATGTTTTCCTAATATATTCATTTCATATGGTGTGTACCAATTAATTGGATTATATTTTTGTTTCCAATCATGATCATTGTCATCTACCTGCTCTTCAATTTGAAAACGGCCTTGGGATCCAGCTTGTTGGGTGTCTTTTTGTCCATGAGAGTGGTGGCCTTTTATTGCATGTAGATACTTTTGTGTTCTACCAGGTAATTGGCCTTGGGATCCACCTGGTAATGGATAATAAGAATGTATGCATTCCATTATCTCCAAAGTTCCCTTCCAACTCTTACCTCCCACATTTCCCCAACAATTACTGATGTTTCCAGAAGGCTTTGGGTAGAGCAGAATCAATTCCCGTCAAGGAGAAGAATCTCTGCCTGAACAGTTACTCCTTTCACCCTGACTACCCTTAAGAGCCATTCTCTCTGAGTAGCTTTCCCCCAGGCCCACCCTCTCCACTCACCACTGAATCCCAGCACAGCTGCTTGCTTCTCAAGGATCAGGAGCAGAGAAAAGGCAAAGAAGATGGTGGACTTCATTTTACCCAAAAAAACTAGGCCTAGAGCTGAGTTGATCTCTTCCTTTATATCTTCCTTGGGTGGGTGTGCCATGAGTGGAGCCGAAGTTACAAAAGGCACTGCCCTTTCTTAGCTTATCAGTAAATGCCAACTTCCTCACCCCTGCTCAGTGGGGGACAATGTCAAAGTCCCCAGGGACTACACGGAGGTCAGAAGTATATAATTAACATAATGTCAGAGGTCTTTTCTTACCCATAGGAGCCCCAGAAAAGCTTTATCAACCCTTAGAGTTCACCATGCTAAACCTCTTGCATTTTATAGAAGAAATTCAGTTCAGAGAAGGAAAGAAACTCACTTCAGGTCACAAAATTAATCAGTACATAAGCAAGCCTTTATATTGTAAGTATAAGTCTCCTTCCACATTGCAATCATTTAAATCCCCCATCATAGATAAAACCCTGTACTTCTCCTTGTTTGAAAACAAGCTTGAAATACATTCTATTTTACCTGAGAAGGAACAATCATAGAGATAGAAAGACACAGAAAGAATGCAACTTTATGGAAGCCAAAGAAAGCAAGTTTCAGGAAGTAAATGGGCACAACAACGTCAAAAGTGGTGGTGAAATTCATCATGATAAAGACTGACATGTGTCCAAAATTTTTTTAAACTTTAGTTCCTGCTAATAACTTTGATGAGAGAAGATTAATACAGTTGTGCTGAATTGTCAGATGATGGAAAATAACCTTTTCAAGAAGTCTGAATTTAGAGTGGCATGAGAAATGAGGTTGTACCTGGAAGGTGAGGTGAGCTCCAGAGATGTTTCTAAGGGTGGGGAAATTTAACATTTTAAGGATGATAGGAGCAATTGTTGGAAAAAGTAATAAAAGTTTTGGTTTCCAAATTGGGTTCTTTTCATGAATCTACCTAAACGACAACAACAACAAAAAACTTTTTAAATTAAGAAAATGTTGGCCAGGCACAGTGGCTCACGCCTGTAATCCTAGCACTCTGGGAGGCCAAGGCAGGCGGATCATTTGAGCTCAGGAGTTTGAAACCAGCCTGAGCAAGAGCAAGACCCCGTCTCTACTAAAAATAGAAAGAAATTAATCGGACAACTAAAAATACATAGAAAAAATTAGCCGGGCATGGTGGCACATGCCTGTAGTCCCAGCTACTCGGGAGGCTGAGGCAGAAGGATCGCTTGAGCCCAGGAGTCTGAGGTTGCTGTGAGCTAGGCTGACGCCTCGACACTCTAGCCTGGGCAACACAGTGAGACTCTGTCTCAAAAAAAAAAAAAATTAAGAAAATGTTCTACTTAAACAGTAAGCAGCTAAAACCCTCAACAGGCTTTGAGAATATTTGCCACCATTGATGAACTTATTAATATATAAAGAGAGGATGCAAAGAGAAAATTTCTACCTTGTGTAGAAATGTAGTTTTCTGCAATTGAGAGAACAACACACTGAATGGGCCAAACAATATTCTTTTTCTTTGACCCATGAAGACTGGGGTATTGGCAGACCACAATGGAAGAGGAAAGCATCCCAACAGTGACCCTGTGTGCACTCAAAACACCATGGAGGGTGATTGTGGAGGAACAATGGCTTGAAAACATAGTTTTAATCATTCCATGCTAAAATCTATTCTTCCTGTAGGGAAATCTACGTGGATGGGGAAAAGGGAAAGATCAACAACCATATTTTTGTGTAAGGAACATAGATAAAAATTGCTAGGTCATTAAACACAGGAGATGTGAGCTACATGGTTTCATTATGAGCCACTCTAAGCTCCTACCAAAGTTCTCTGTAATAAAAATATTACACCAGTGTGGTAATATTTCCTTAGGGCAGAGACTCCAGTAGATTAGGTTGAAGTTATCCTGAATGGAAATTGCTTATTGTGCCTGCTAACCTTTGCGTTCCTCTCCACATTTCCCTTGAGAAAATACCAGGAACCCTACATTACAAGCTTACTAGTAAAGGAAAGGATCTGATAACATTGATCTTATTTATGGATCCAAGAACAAAACCCTTGTCTAATCCAGCATGCGTGTATAAGATATAGATAAAACGAAGAGGTCAAAGATTTGCAAAAACAAATCAGGAAAGCACAAAACAATAATAGCATGAGATTATCATAGAGCTCAAAAAATTCAAAAAAAAGCATTTAAAAATAAAAGAGAACTGTATTGATAATGATGAAAAGAAATCAGTGACTTGGAAAGCAGAAAAATGGCATGAGTGGTGCATACATCCTAGATATGGTATCATGATGGGGAAAGGATCCAAGGTTTTGTACTCTTGGAGAAATTTTCAAAAGGGGAAAATATTTAAAATGCTCAAAATTAACATGAGAATCTTAAAATATTATGCTAAAAGCACAGAAGTGCAGAATTTTAAAATGTTTTGGTCAATTCTATGCACAATTATTTGACAACTTAGAAAAGATTTAAAAAATAGGTATTTCTGGAGAGAGTGCAGAGCATAACAGAGCAGAACTCCCCAGCAATTATCCCCCCACCAAAACTTCAAGTTTAATAGACATGTACCCACAATAACACCTTCACAAGAGCTAAGGAAACCAGGTGAGAGATTATTGGATGTGGTTATAGTATAAAAATAAGAAAAGACACATTGGATAGAGCAGAAAAGACAGTTTTATGTTACCTGCATCACCTTAGTCCAACCCCAGCAGCACAGTGTCAAGAGAGACATTGTCCATTTGGGGGAAATAAAAGGAGCTAAGCCTAGGACCCCTCCATTGAACATAATAACATGTCTAAAACAGTAAAATCCATCACAAGGAGGACTCTCATGACTCCTGAGTCCAGGCTAGAAACCATGGCCTGAACACCTAGACCCACCCTGGCACAAGATGGGAACCCATAGTCCCTGCAAGATGGACTTGAATTCTAACCCACAGCACTGCCAGCTGACTATAGCAGTCTTGGGTTCCAAGTCACCCAGGGAGATAGGCAGTCCTCAGCAGGTAGGGGTTGGCAGTCCAGTGCTGTGCCAGCTTTGGCAGCCAAGAGATTCTAGCCTAGGGTAGCACCAGCAAATATGGTCCCAAGCTTATGACATTTGCAGGTGCTGCCATGGCTAAAGCAGTCAGGGGCTTAGAGACCACAACAGATAACCTGCTTAGAATTTCTGGACAGACTTAATGTTGAAGGATGTTCTCAGAGAAAACCAGGCTGCAAAGACTAGGATAAGTACTTTCTTCAATGTGCAGACATCGATACATGGTCACAAGGATTAAAAAACAATTAGGGAAAAATGACATAAGCAAACAGATAAAATAAGGTGCCAGTGATTGACCCAAAAGAAATGAAAATATATGAACTGCCTGAAAAAGAAGTCAAAAGAGCTGTTCTAAGGAAGTTAGAGAAACAATTAAATAAAATGAGGAAAACAATAAGTGACCAGAATAAGAAATTTGACAGAGATTGAAATCATAATAAAAAATCATATGGAAATACTGGAGCTGAAAGACACAATGAAAGTAAAAAAAAAAAAACTGTAATAGCATCAGCACTAGAATTGATCAAGCAGAAGAAAAAAATCTGTGAAGTCAAATATAGGTGATTTAAAAAGAATGAGAAGAAATAAGGAAAGCTTACAGAATTTATGGTATAGCATCAAAAGAGCAAAGTGATCTCTCATTGGCATTCAAGAGGGAGTAGAGAAATATAAAGGTATAGAAAGTCTATTAAAGAAATAATAGTAGAAAGCTTTCCAAACCTGGAGAAAGATATGATATACAGGTACAGAAAGGTCAATGTTTACCAATCAGACTCAATCCAAATAAGACCATTCAAAATATTATAATCAAACTGTTAAATATCAAAGATGAAGAGAGGATCCTGAAAGCACCAAGAGGAAAGAGCAAATAACATATAAGGAAATTCCAACATGCCCATTAATAGACTTCTCAACAGAAATATTAAAGGCCAGAAAAGAGTGGAATGGTACTAATATATTCGATGTGCTGAAGGGAAAAAAAAAACCCTGCCATTCATGAATACCTTGTCCAGAAACGCTGTCCTTCAGAAATAAAAAAGAAACTTTCCTAGACAATCAAAAGCTAGGAACTTCATCATCAACAGACCTATCTTACAAAAAAGTGCTAAAGAGAATTATTCAAACTAAAAGGAAAAAATGCTAATGAATAATACAAAAGTACTTAAAAGTATAAAATTCACTAGTAAAAGTAATTATTACACTGTCAAATTCAAAATAAACTAATACTATAATGGTGGCGTGTAAAACAAGTAGGATTTGCTTTAGGAATCTGGGTGCTCCTGTGTTAGGTGTGTAAATATTTAGAATTGTTATGTCTTCTTGTTGAATTGTTCCCTTTGCCATTATATAAAGATCATCTTTGTCTTTCTTTACTTTTGTTGATTTGAAGTCTATATTATCTGATATGAGAGTGGCTAAACCAGCTTTCTTTTGCTTCCCATTTGCATGGAATATTGTTTTCTATCCCTTCACCTTGAGTCTGAATGAGTCTTTGTGGGTTAGATGTGTTTCTTGGAGACAGCAAATACTTGGCTTATATTTTTTTTATCCATTCAGCCAGCCTATGTCTCTTGAGAGGGGAGTTCAAGCCATTCAGATTTATTAAAAGAATTAGTAAGTGGGGTGGATTTCTGTTCTTTCTGTTGAGTAGAACTTTATTGCTCTGTTTTACCTCTGGAGCCATTGTGGTATCTGGGCTCTGACATTTATCTTTTGGGTGATTTTACACTGGTGGGTGTCTATTGTGTTGATCCATGTATAATGCAGTTCTGAGCATTTCTTGCAGGGCACGTCTGGTCTTGACAAATTCTGTCAGTGTTTGCTCATCTGAGAAGGTCTTTATTTCTCCCTCATATAATAAACTTAGTATAGCAGGATACAAAATTCTAGGCTGGCCATTATTCTGTTTGAGAAGCCTGAGAATGGGGCCCCAATCCCTTCTGGCTTGTAAGATCTCAGTTGCGAAGTCTGAAATTAGTGTGATAGGTTTTCCTTCA